AAACAAAACTGGACCATTGTTTTTCGAAATCAATTGATGTGAAGAGACTGTTTATCTATTTTAAAACGATATCAGCAAATAACGTGAGGTAGCATGTGTAGCGTGTATTTACAGTCTTTTTAGAGCGATTTTCGTATAACCTTGAAATGAACACACGAGAACAAAACAGAACAACAAACGAAAGGAAATAGAGCGATTTGATTGGTTTATCGAACGGATACAAACGGGAATGGCTTTTGGTTAGTTAAGGAAACGTTCGGGTGAAATTAAAACCTTCACGCCCGAGAACTTTCCAGAAATCAATTGATACTTCGCTTTGACATCATACTGCAACACGATTGACCAATCGAACAATGTGGTCTGCATATTAGGGTTTTCTTTAGCGGGAAAACGAAGAGTCCATATTTTGATCTTTGATAAAACAAATAACGAACACTTAGCCGAAACCATTTTTCGAGGTCATAGGAAAATTGCTCTATTGATCTAAAGTTAGTAATAAAACTATGCATTAAACTACTATTTTCAAGAGATTTTGTTTCATGAAACAAAACAGCAATAGTTGACATAGTTGACTGGTCATCATTTGAACTTACAATAAAGTGTTAGACAAGGTAAATTAACGGGCTTGAAGAGGAATAGCAGCATTTTGTCTTTGTCGACGTTTAAATAATATCAGGAGAGCTCTTTTGAACTCTGGCATTCTGATTGTGTAAATAATAGGATTAACAAGCGAGTTTGTGTGGTATAGAAGAATAAAAGATAATCTCAAGCGTGTATATGTCAGGAAAGAAAGTCTATCTAGAACAAAACGGAGAACAAAAGTATGTACAACAAATGGTAACCACAGCAGCAAAGATACAATGGTCATTATGAATAATGTGACAGTCAGTTTTCTTTGTCTATTGGCCGCACCATGTGACGGAGGACGACTTCCACACCAAAATTTTAAACCAATAGAGGTGTAAGAAACACAGATAACAACAAGGCAAAGAAAACAATATGAGAACATGAAGTATAAAGGAAACACCAATTGCCACTGTTGTTGCAAGCTCCCATAGAGACTTATTAACGGAAAGGGAATTACTATCATCGCAGTTAAAATCCAGACGCCCGCAATTGTTACCCCGTAGGCCCATTTTTCGATGTTGCGATGCCTGAATGGACGAAACGTCGCATTCATCCGATCTAAAGAAATTATTGCAATGCCTGTTACAGAGGTGAAAGAAAACCAGATGTTGATTATGTGAAGCACAAACAAAATAGGTGGCCATTCCAGCCGGATGAAAAATTCATCTGCAAATTCGCAACCGTAGAGGAGGAAATAAAATACTGCAAAGAAAGTGGCACTTCCTCCAACAAACATATCAGCCACGGTCAAGTTTATAACCAAGTACATGGCACGAGTGCGAAGATTACTGTTCTTTACAAAAAGGATAATTGATATGAGGTTCACTGCAACCATAGCAACAATAGTAGTAAGGTATACAGCATACCATGTGGTGCACTCGGCTGAAGAGATTATCCAGGAGATTCTTCTGGAGAACATTGTTTTCTTTTAATTCTCTTTTCTCCTCCCTTCAGAAAGAAATCGAATAAAGTTTGGTTAGCTGAATAAAGAAAGTTAATTAGAAGGTGGACTAAGAAGACTGAAGTCTACTCCTTAAATATTAGAATGGAGGTTGTACATTGACAACAATTCTTCAATAGAGTGCTCACCTTAACTTTAACTTCTTGATACTTTTGTTAACGCTGAAATAAACCCCTTGCTTTCACCTGTGGAAAGAAAAAATCAAAAGCAGCGGTTGAGAGGAGAGTAAGATGAATAGGTTGACTGAAAACTGAGGACAAAAAAATATATTTTAATTTTAGCTGTTATTGTTGGCGCTCATTGAACTACATGTCACTAAGAAGTAATGGATCACCTGGTAGAAAGTTTATTTCACTGGGAAGGGGGGAGTACTCAAGAAAGGTTTTTACGGGAAGGTTCCGCCCCCAGGTCCAGCCCCTTATCCTTTTGTTTATCATTTAATTATGACAGAACAAGTACCTCTATCAAATACCTAGTTTGGAACTTTGCATACATTTTTAACTGCTGCTCTGATCCAATGACCTTTAAACTATGAATAAATCACAAAACAACGTTTTTTTTTTTTACTTTTTCACAGCCATAAAATGCATTTGTTAACCTTATTCGGGCTTTTTTTACAGACCAAAATGATAGATTTTCCTACAGCTAGTAAATCCCTACCCTCTTATATACATGAAGCCCAAATAAGGTATTCCTTTTGGGCGGAGCCTCCCCGTATAGGCCATTGTAGGGAGTACCCCCCCCCCCCGTCCCCTTCACCCCCGGGGTACGTTTCAAGAATATTTCCTCAAACTTGAATAAGTCATTAAATATTCACAATGAGACTGTATCGTATTGCACTCTAATTGTGCCAATAAAAGTCAATCAACTTCCAAGTTATCGTACCTCGAAAATATCTCTGAATGAATATTAAAAAAGCCAATAATTAATATTATTATTCCACTATTATGTCATTTTACCATATAAGGTCAAGAGAACTAGCAAAATACGAGGCTGTAATACACCGTAGTGTCCTGGTTTAACCGGTTTACAACAGGGCGAATACCAGCGGATGCAAAAGGAGCAACTGTGGCTGACAGAATCAGGATGTTTTGGATACTCTCTTTAGAAAATAGAAGCCAAAATACCATTTTTCTTTTGCAGTAAAATAATTAACCTCTCATTCAATGGTTTGGCATATAATTCGCGCGAACATTTTGCTAATTGTTAACGTCATTTTCACAGACAGAATCAGGATGTCTCTGAATACTCTTACCAAAAAATAGAAGCTAATTGCCAGATATATATATATTTTTTTGTAGTGGAATAATAAACCTCTTATTCGATGGTTTAGCATATAATACGAGCGGACATTTTTCTCATTGCGAATAAGGTGTATATACTTCATCTAAGCTTCTTTGGTATTCGAAGTCCGATAAAGATGTTCGCTACTACAACACTTCTGCCTAATGCAACGTGCAACGATTAACCAAAGTTATTAACCGAACGGAAGGCCTGTTTTTCAGACCTCCCATAGTGTAACCTTAATTTTGCCAAACCTTTCAGAAAAATTGTCGCTGAGATGAACTTGTCAATATGAACTTTCTTTTTGATGACTCCAGTACGTAGAACAAACAAAATCTTTCATTACAGCCTCTCAGCCTGTGCCGGGAACTAGGTAAGGAATGTGCGCGCTTTCCTGTTCATGGCAGGTATCGCCATTATTTACGCCCTAACTGCCTCAGGCGAGTGCTACCTGTGCTACCCATTCTTGCTAACAGCTGCTTTCTGTTAGCTTCCTGTAACCCTTTATAGGTTTGTAACCACAATTATTTATGTCAGTTTCCCGTTAAAGGATAGGGACTTTGAAGCAAACGAAACATATATTTTTCAAAACATGTGGTCAACATCCTATGATGTTTTGTTCCATTGCATATGTTTGGGTTGTTACCTAGTACTTTTTTACTTATCCTTTGTTGAATTTTTAAACGCTAAATCATCTAGTATTATTCAAAACCTAAAAAGATGAAAATATTTTTCAAATTTCTAGTTACAAAAGAACACACAAAATAAAAACCGTAGCGTCTTAAAACCTCTTTCCGCCTGCAAGGTATGGCGATTAAAACTGGTTGTACATTGTATCTTCTTATGAGCGGATGTCTGTAAATATCGACCAGAGATGGCAAAAATAAAATTTTTGAAAAATCTCCCAAAAATGATGTAGACTTTGGGCGATTGACGGCCTCCGTCAGACCGCTTTTTCGGGCCCTTAGACCGGGCTACGAAAAGAGCACGATTTCAATCGAATTCGAGTATCATTCAACCCAAAACTTGACATTCGCCGTATCGCCAAAATATTTATCCAATGAAACTAAAATTTATATTTTCATTACTAGAATACCTAGGGGAGTCTACATAATTTTTTTGGACTTTATTTTTCCTACCTCTGGTCGATATTTACAGACATCCGCTCTTAAAATCTTCCCTTTTGCAAGACATGGCGAATTTAAACTTCTCTTTAAAAGAAAGACAAACTTCAGCGAGGTTTAACTGTGCGGCGGTGACTATCAGCAAGATGACTTCGCGATCATGCGAGGATAGGAATTGTTTTAAAGGCTTATCGTTGTTTTTTCTCACAACAACTTAGCGCTTACCTTTCTAACAAATACTGAGCTGCTTGGTTGTCTTGAAGGATATCTTGAAGGAAGCAGAGAGCTGAAAATTTTTTGCTCAAGTTGGCAACGGATTCATTCCCTGGACTGACGTCAAGGGTTTCTTTGTTCAACGTAAACGTTTTGAATCATAAGGATAAACTTTCAGTGAAAACGGTTCAAATCAAGTTTCGTATGTACTCCCAGTAAATGGTGTCCTTTCCTTAATTTCTCACCCTTTTAATAGCAAGAGTGAACGTGACGTAAACGTAGGAACGTAAAGGTAGGTCCCTCACTTTCTTTCCTTCTTTTCTCGTTCGCAGACTCCTCACGGTCAGTGTAACCAAGCAAGCCTAAAGTACATAGGGTGAGTTTCCGGTGACGCGTAAAATTGACATAAGTACACACGTATATTTTACGCGCGTAAATAAAATAGAGGCAACGTATTGAAGGTCGCGCGTAAACGTAAAAGTTAATTAAAGTAAACTAAAAAGCGTCGCCTCTTTCATCGAGAGAAATGGCTATTGTCCTTGCGACATTTAATTACAGTCGGTGAAAGCTTCTTGGTCTGTAATATCGCTTATTGTTGTTCTAAAATGCTGAACAGGAGTCTTTTTCATTGATTGCCATGAACCCTATTTTACGGATCCGGTCCGGGTCAGCGAACAGATAACTGACTTTTAAAAAGATGTGTTGAAAATTGTAGTTTCGATTCCTCGCATTAGAGTTTTGACGTATTAGATTTTTGACGTATTAGAGTTTTGACGTATACCTTTCTGACT